TTCCTGGGGGGAGGGTGGGCAGCCTGCCCCAGCTCCCCTCAGGCATTCTCTGAGCCCAGGGAGCCATCTCCAGGCTTTGGGTCCAGTCCAGGGGGGTTCATCTTGGGAGTCAAGGTGGGAAAGGGACTAAGAGAAGAATCAGAAAGTGTGTGGGGGCAATGTTCTGACTACTATTGCTGCATAGCAAATTATCCCGAAGTCAGCAGTATGAAACAACGGCCATTTTATTTTGTCCAAAGTTTTATGAATCGGGAATTAGGAAAGGGCCTGGCTAAGCAGTTCTCACCTGGGGTCTCATGTGATTGCTATCAGATGTTGCCTGGGCCTGGAGTCCCCTGAAAGGCTCAGTGGGGTTAGAGTGCAGGATGGCCACCTCCCATGGCCGGCAGGTGGTGTTGGCTCTGTGGGAACTCAGCTGGGACCGTGGATATGAGCAATTCTGCATGGCCTCTCCAGCTTGGCAACCTCAGGGTAGCCTGACTTCTTACATGAGGCTGGCTTTTACCCCAGAGCAAGTGTCCTAAGCGAAGCAGGTGGAACCTGTGTGACCTCTTATAACTTAGCCTCCACAGTCACATAGTGTCACTGCCACTGTACTTCGCTGGTGGAGGCAGTCATAGCCCTCTCAGATTCAAGGGAAGAAGGACAGCGACTCCGCCCTGAGAAGAGTGCCAAAGGATGCTGGGCCATATTTTAAAACTATCACAGGTGACATTTCAGAACAGGGCTCTCGCCCCGTGCTAACCAGGACCTCACAGGCTACAGGCCCTGGGGGACACCAAAGACCTCAAGCCAGCACCCACCCTACAGATTTGAAGGCTCGGACCCTGAGAATGCAGAGCTCTGGCCTCAGCACCTGCCTCTGCCCATCCTGCCTGTCCCTCACAGGGAGGACCAAGGAGTTCTCAGGCCCTGAGGCCCAGGGCAGGTCTGCAACCTGGAGGGGTATGTGGTGGGGTTGTGTGCCCCAGGGGTACTTGAGTGTGTGTATGTGCATGTACAAGCACTGGCAAGTGTGAGTGGATGTGAGAGGGTTACTCTACTGTCTAGAAGATACTGTGCTCTGTAACCAAACTCCCCTCCCCTAGGAACACGTTTTGCAGGCACCAAGGGGAAGCTGAGGCAGGACCATGGGAAGAAAAGGGCTTCAGGAGGGAGGGGCCAAGTCAAAAGTGGCATGAGCGAGAAGGAGGCCTGTGGGCGTGGGAGGGGCTGAGACTCTGGTCCTGGGGTCTTGGGGTTCAGGGCTTGTGAGAAGCTGAGCTTTGACCAATCAACAGAAACTACTGACAGCTTCCCAGCAGCACATGGTCACCACTGAAACACCCACAAAGAGAGGAGGTGGGGACTGGGGTGGGGTGTCAGGGAAGCCTGAATAAACCCATGGTCCCCAGCCTCTCCTTGAGGCCAAGAGGTAAGATGCCCCTTTAGTACCCAGCCTGTCCCCGTTGTCCCTGAAGCTGCTCTAGGCTTTCAGCCCCATCTAATACCATAGCACCCCAGGGAAAAGTGCCCAAGGCAGGCCAGTGTCCCTGCGTAGCCCAAGGCAGGCCAGTGTCACCCAGTCTCCCTCCTCTCCACCAGGGCAGGGACTCATTCATAGCTGTATTCCAGATAGGCTCTCAGTAGAGGTTTTCTGAATGAATGAGTGGATGCATGTTGGGGTTGGTGGTGGGCAGGGGTCTGCCCTGGCCCCTGGCCCCCAAGACCCTTGCTCCTCCATGCCGTCTCCAGGCGGGGTGGCTGCCCCGGCCGGCCCTGTGCCCACTCCAGAGCTCTCCCAGGCCCTCAGGCGCTTCCTGAGCAGCAGGACATGTCCTACTCTGCGTGCCTCTGGAAGGAGGCAGCTAATCGAGGGGAAAGGACACTTTGTTCAGGCCTGGCCAGCTGCCTGGGCTCGGGGTACCATGTCCAGGGCCAGGCGGGCAGAGCAAGACACTGCCTGCAGGAGGGTCCCAGTGAGCAATGGGGGTGGAGGGTCTGGGGAGGGGGGCAGATGAGCAAGGCTCTGTGCCAGGACCCTGGGCCTTCTCAGAGGTCCACTCAGGCTCCCCCTTCCGTCCTCAATTCTACCTGCTCTCCATTCCCCTCCTACGGCTCTGACTCCTGGTGAAGTTTTTCACTCACTCTACTCATTTATTCATTCATTGAAGCAACATCTAAAGGAACACTGGGTATGTGCTCGTGAAGTTCTAGGCCCTGGGGACATTGCAGCAAACAAGACACGCCACAGTGCCTGTCCTTACAAAGTTTATATTTCAGTTGCAAGACAATAAGCACCTAAGTAAATTAAATATATGATCATTTATTTTATGATATTATGAAAATGCTCTGAAGAAAAATGAAGCAGGACAGGAGTACAGGGACAGAGCCAGTTGTGGTGGCGAGGGAAGGTAGATTTTTTTTTTTTTAAACATAGGTAGTTAATAAAGGCCCCCGAGAAGGCAACAGCTAAGCAAAGACCTCAGGAGGTTAGGAAGTGAATCACATAAATTCCTAGGGGCAGAGCTTTCAGACAGAGAGAACGGCAAGTGCTAAGGCCCTGAGGCAGGAATGGGCTGAGCGTGTCCAAGGAGCAGCAAAGAAGCCAGTGCGGCTAGAGCATGTGGAGCAGGGAGGGCAGAGGAGACGGGCTTAGAGGCGGAGAGGGAACAGGATGGTGAGGAGCCTTGTCAGCCCTTGGAAGGGCTTCGGCTCTCACTTGGATGATGGGGAGCCAATACAGGGCTTTGAACAGAGGATTTATATTTTAAAATAATGGTAGCTCATGTTCCTACTGTTTAATATTTCTAAATATTTTTCTAAGCACTGAACATGTATAACCCATTTAATTCTCCCAATAACCTTTACTAAAGATGAGGAAACGAACACTAGGGAGGTCTCTACCCATTACATGCTAGTAACACCACCCCCTCCAAGTTGCTACACACACCAAAAATGTCTGCAGACACTACCAAATGTCTCCTGGCAGACAGAATTGCCTCTGGTTGAGAACCACTGCCCAAGTGTCCTCCTATCCACCCCATCTGCCACTGTCCCAGCTCAGGCCCACACACCCCTCACTATGACGCCTCTGATAGCCTCCTGATTGGCCCCCTGCCCCCTCTACTCCATCCTCCACTGTACATCTCACCATGCTGCTCTCCCAGCTCCCCCTAAGGATAAATGCCATGCTACTTAGGTCGGCATACGTGGCCATGCAATCTGGCCCCTGACTACCTCTCAGCCCTATCCTTGAGCCCCCCACCCCCACCCCCGCCTGCCCTCCCTCACTCATTCAGTCTAGCACCATGCGTTGAGCCTGCTCTGCTCCAGCCATGATGGACACTGCAGACATGGAGACAAAGCCCCCAGGCCCAGACGTCATGTGTGTCTGTCCCGGGCTGGAGAGAGCAGGTAAACAAACATGTGGATGCCGCTAGTCCAGGACTCCAGGAGAAGAGGGGGTGCCGTAGCTAAGCTGTACGGAATGGGTGGGGGTGATCAAGGGGAGCGGGGAGGACCTGACAGTGATGGGCTGAAGCTTTGACAGGATTGGGAAGCAGTGGCTGTGATTTGGGTCCCCAGCTAAAGTACTGAGAATGCAAGTGTGAAGAGGGATGGATGGCAGGGAGCAAAGGACTAAACTGAAGAGGTGAACTGAACAAGCAGGCGCAGGGGAGAAGTCTAGGATGGTCTGGCTTGCACAGATAGGTGGAAAGTGGGGTCGGCCCCCTGGCAGGCATGCCCCCTTCCTTTCCTTCCCCTGTCAAATTCCTCCCCTTGCTGCAAGCCCAAATCACAGTGGTGCCTCCTCCTTGAACCTGAGGGATTCCTCTCTGCTGGAATCGCTTCCTCCTTCCTCTGTGGTCTCCAAACCTGTGTTATGGTAACATCATCATCTAATTTTTATTGCAGGGTCTGTTGTCACCCCACACCCCCAACTGGGAATTTCATGCGGGAGGTGTTTTTGATCCTTGGTTTACCGGCAGATTAAACCAAGCTGCCTTCAGCAGAGGAAGCCGTAGCTCCAGCCTGAGCCCTCCCAGGGCTGAGGGCCACAGGGAGCGGAAACACCCTACGGTTCAGTGGCTGCCAGACGTTGGCCCAGCCTGTTCTCAAGGTAGTGGGGCTGCTGGCCAGGACACATTTGCTTTGCCTCGGTGAGCACACACCCTGCTGGTGCCAACCACCTCCCGCCACCCTCCTGCTGCCCTCTGGCCACAGTCGCCCATGTGTGACCAGGCCGCCCACTTACGTTTAACAGGCCCTTCCTGCACCCCAGTCCCCAAGGTCTCCCCTCTCCATCTCCATCCTCTGGGGCAGGGTTGGGAGATTCCACCGCACAGAGGTGCAGGCCAAGGGGCACTCCCTAGTGCTAAAGACCCCCTAGCAACCCCAGCACTCTCTTCATAATAATATATTTCATGATAATAACATTTTCCTAAGTGGCCTCCCTGCTTCGCTCCTCCCCCTACAGTCTCTTCCCCACTCAGCAGCCAAGGGAGACTTTTAAAATGTAAACCACGTCATGTTACTCCTCTCTGATAAAATAAGCCCTCAAAAACCTAGGTAGCAAAGTGCAAGATCTCCTCCTTCCTTCCTGATCTCACCTCCTGTTACTTCCCCTCCCCCTCGCTCCCTTCCAGCCACACAGGTCTTCTCTCTGTTCCTCAGACACACCAGGCCTCAGGGCATTGGCACTTGCTGTGCCCTCTGCTGTCGTGCCCTTCCCCAACACCCCCACTGCCTGGTTGTCCTGCTTACATATGACCTCCTCAGAGAGATCTTCCCCGTCCCATGTCCCATGGCTCTGTCTAAAACAGCTTTCCATTACCCTGCTGCAGGGAGACCCCACTGTGTCCCCCAGCAGGCAGGCCCAGCTTTCACTCTGCCCACACTTCCCTGGGACCACCCACCCTGCTCCTCTGCACCCCACTGCCTTCCTTTCAGCTGCCACTGTCCCCACAATACCCTCAGAATGGATCTGGGGACTGCTTTTCCTGCCTCTCTCCCACCAGGGGTACAGTGAGCGAGAGACAGAGATGCAGAGTGTGGAGAAGAGACTGTACAACGACATGACCACTGCTGGGCCGTCGAGCTACATCCAGCTAGATCTGGGGCGGAGAAGACACTGCTTCCCTAAATGCCCTCCGAGACCATCGGACCCACCCCTGCCCTATGCCCCACAGCATGCTGGTTTGTGCTGCTTCCTGGAACAGGCCCTTGCCCTTGCCCAGGACGCATGTAAGGCATTTTCCACTTATCTGGGGCGGGTCACACCCCAGAACCCCTATCCATCCTGCCGTCCTGTGTAACCCCTTAGCGCCTGCCACGAGGACGTCCACGTCGTCCTGCCGCCGTCCAAGATGTGCCTCGGATGTAAGTGCCCTTAATAAATCTTGATGTAACGGTGCATTGTCAGCCTCCTTCTGTCTCTCGGCCCTGGGAAATTTTATGTAACAGAGGGAGAGAGAACAGAGACAGACACAGAGAGACACACATGCAGATACCAACAGAGATGGAGGAAGGTGGGGGAGGTGAGAGAAGCCCAGAGGGTGGCTAGACTTGGCAAGTTCTCACATAATGGCTGGACTTAACCCCACAGGCCTGACCAGGGTCACTGCAGTCCAATTGGTCCTTTTGAGCAAATTAGAGAGAGGCATCCTCTCTGGGTTTCAGAGCTCTCTGATCCTTGAGCCAGGCACCCTGTGCAGGGCCCAACCTGCACAGCAGGGCATGGCAGCCTCCCCCAGCCATCGGCACACCCAGGAGGGGAAGGCAAGTTTAAATGCCAACCAGTCCTCAGGTCTGACCACAGATGCGTCTGTGGTGTTCCATTGGACCTTTCAGAAACACCTGGGCTGTCTCCATGTGGTGGTGAGCCTGAGTCCAGCCCTCTCCACTTGCCCACTGGGCCTTCCCCACAGCAGGTCCTAGGGTCATGTCACCCCTGCCTTCACCACTCATGAGCGTCAAGCCAGGCCCAGAGCCCTGAGAGGCCAGGAAAAGACCCTTGTGTCTGTGCCAGCTTCCTGCTCCAGCACCAGCCACACCCCCCAGCCTCACAGACCTTCTCTGTAAGTCATAGGAAGCCAGGGCGGGGTGGACGCAGAGGTACCATGACCCTCACTTGACAAAAAGGGAGAGGAAGGCGCACAGGGAAGTGATCAGCTCAGAGTCCCCCCACTGACCCCCTCATTCCTTATAACTCCACCTTACGGGGTCCGAGGATGAGGTACTGCCATCCCCAGGAGCTGACGTGGCCTGTGAGTGGCTACTCAGCTCACACAGGCAGCCAAGGAGCCTGAGCCACCAGCCGGCCCTGGCCTACACTGATCCTGGCGGTGCCTTCCAGGAGCCAGCGGCTGCCCTATGCAGGGTAACAGCAGAGAAGCAGAAGCTCCGACCTGGAGTGCTCTGGGCCCCAGGATTCCCCACTCCAGCGGGCATGGCTGGCACCAGGTTTGGGAGCCTATCAGGAAGGGGAAGGAGGAGAAGCATCCTCATGGGGTTCATGAGGAACGCTGTATCCGTGCAGGAGCAAGCAGGGGATCCAGGCAAAACCAGGGAGCCCCTAGGCTGCCCTCCAAGGCTCTCCCTCTTCCCAACAGCCGACACTCTGGGAGGACATAATTAGGGCCCAGGTGAGTCATATGGTCACAAGGCTGCTTCCTGGCTGACTCAGGGGGACAGTCCAGATGGGCCCTGACACCAGCCTCCAGCTCAGAGGCTAAGAGGGATGCCAGGGGCCCTGGCCAGGAAGCCCAGAAGAAAGGCCCCAGCCCACTTGTGAACCACCTGCCCTCTCCGTGCTCCCCAACACCAGGCTGGCGGCTGGGAGGTGGGGTCTCCCACCTTTACTGGGCTGAGCTGGGCTGGGACAGGAGGCCAGTTGCTGCAGTTTTCCTACCCCCATCCCAAGCACACACCATCCATCCAACAGACAGCTATTGTTTTCTTTTTTTTTTTGAAGATTTTTATTGGGGAATTGGAGGGATGGGAACAGTGCTGGGGAATTGGGGGGATGGGAACAGACAAGTTGCTCTCCTTTTGTTCTTCAGTCTAGTTGTGGAGGACGTTGCTTCACTGGCCCAAGTTGGCACCATCATTGAGCTCTTCCTGGGCGAGGCAGATCAGTCGCCGGCTTCTGGACGGCCGCTCATTGCTGCTGCTGGCCACTCACACTGGCCACTGTCTACACACGGTGGCCCATGGCAACCCTCCTGCCATCACTGGTGACTCATGGCAGCCCAGCTCCAGGTCGAGCTGCCATTCAGCATCCTAGCTGTAGAGGGCAGTGTCACCGGCCTTCATATGTGGGATCCGAACCGGGGCCCTCTGGCATCCCAAGCCAGCTCTTAACCAACGCGCCACTCGGCCGGCCCAACAGCTATTGTTTTCAATCACAATGATTATTAAGAGTAGCCGCCATGTTCTGATATTGATCTGCAGCTCTGCAGCAGGCCTCCAGCTAGACACAATGGGGGGCCATGGAGAAGACCAGACAAGTGTCTGTGACTAGCAGTTGTGTTGAGAAGAGTTAGGGGCAGTGTGAGCTCTCTCTCTCAAAAGTATGCTAGACCCTCAGCATCTGGACACACACACACACACACACACACACACACACACGAAGGGAAGGAACCTGGGCCCACTGGGAGCCAGCGGTACCTCCTGACAAATAGCACCACCTGGCCCTCTCCCATCTGATCCCCACCCAGTATGAGGGTGTGCCCTTCCATGGCCAGTTAGGGCACACAATCATAAGCCCCCAACTCAAGCCCACCCTTGCTTCTGGGATTAGGTAGAGTTGGGCTTTCTAGATGTCTGGCCTCCCCTCTGCCCGGGACCCCCAGAGGTGCCAGGCACTGAGCATGGCAGAGTGGGCTGTGACCAGGGGCAGCAGGATGGGGCCCTCCTGCATCAACCCCAGGGACCCCTCGTTCGCCCCCCAGCCCAGCCCCCGAGGCAGGTCCTACGGTCTCAGGGCTGCTTTCCTGGCTTTGTCCTTGTGCTGGCTGGGCAGGAACTTCCTGCTGGAGAATTCCCGGATCCTCCCTGTGAGGCCGCAAGCCTGGCCTGGGAACTTAGGTGGGAGGGGAGTCAGGGACACTCCTACTGACAAGGGCAGGTCTTGTGGCAGCAGAGACTCCCTGGCACTCTGGCCCACGGGTCCTTCCCCACCCCCGGGTCAGGTGCAGCTAACCTGTCCTCCAGCTCAGGTGCTCCGCTGGGGCCCCTCTGGTTCTGCAGCCCCATGGGCACAGACTGGAGACTAGACTGAGACCCCAAATAAACTGAGCTTGTTCCAAGTTGAGGGTGAGGGGCAGGCTCCACAGCCAGCCAGCCAAGGAAGCTGAAGTTAAAATGGGCTTTATTAACGACATCAGGCCCAGGCAGGCCCACCTTCAGACACATGGACACAATTTTTCTCAAGACCTCCTGGCCCCAGGAGCTCCTTGGATGTTCCCTTAGAAGAGGGGGCTCCATCCCTGTGCAGGTTCCAGGGATCGGGGGCAGGGCAGGCTATCCAGCACCAGCTTCACTCTAGAGGCCAGTTTCCCATCTCATCCATGTCCTCCAGGAGCAGGTGCTGGAGGGAAGAAGTGGGTGAAGGAAGATGCCTGGGCATCTCTGGGCTTTTCCTTCCTGGCTCTGCACCCCCAGAACCTCCCGTCTACTCCCCAGAGACAAGCACCCTGAGGCTATCTTGTCTAGACCCACCCCTACCTCCCCACCACTGACCCCGGTTCACCAACCCTGAACCACCTCCCTCTCATAAAATGAAGAGACTCTTCTCCCTCCAACTTGGGGGGGTTCCTCGGAACCTGTAGGAATCAGGCACCCCAGCTAACCCCTCCCCTCCCTCACCTCTGTCCTGGATACCACACCAAAGGGGCTTTGCAGTCTTTCCTCCAGCCTAGGGTGTCGCTTCAGCTGCCTCAGCACCCTTCCCCCAGGTCCCCAGCATTCCCCAAAGAGTGGGGGGTGGCTTCCTTCTCCCTCAGCTTGGCATCCCTGAGGGAAGATAAGGAGAGAATGGGGTGGTAATGAGGACAGGATCCCTGAAACACCCACAGAGGGAAGATATTTTTGAGGCAGCTATGTCCCCATAATGAAGACTGAGCTGGGCCCCCACTTGCCACCACCCAGAAACTCCCTAGGGCCCCTCCAGTGTTGCTCAAGCTACCCCATGACTGTGACCCCTGGGACAGGGGCAGACCAGCTCAGGAGGTGGTTCTGGAGGGGAGAGGAGTAGAAGAGGGAAGGGTGAGAAACAGATCCTTTTAGGGTGAGAAGGCAGAAGCGTGGTGGGGCCCTGCCAGGGCTGACGGGCTGTGTGGCTTAGGGGGATGTGGCACAGCCTTGCTCCCCAGAGCACAGGGGGCACCCTGTGCACGGGCGTGTACGCTCAGAGCAGTAAGAAGGCCTCCCCTCAGTGCCCGGCAGGCCTGCATTCCTGATCCCTAACATCGGGGTGCCCTGTGCAGGTGATGGTCATACAACCTGCCTCTCCTCTGATCCTTCCAGCAGTCCCCTTCCACAGACAAAGGAACCAAGCCTACATTCAAAGTCACAGAACAAGTTGACACCAGAGCAGGGACTTGGACAAAAGACTCTGGCCTCCAAACCCTGTGCTCTTTCCTTTTGTAAACCACACAGATGGACAGGGGCACCCGTCCACTGAAGGAAAGAAGGAGTTAATGAATGCAAATTAACTCAGAAAGGATACGGACACATTCTTCAACAACAGGTCCATCAATGTGCACTTAGAGAAGCTGGGACAGGCCTAATGTTTAAGGCTGATGTCAAGGAGGGTGGGCAGTAGGTGGTCCTTGGTGTGACCCAGAGGGGTAACTGCCTCACATCTATGTTTGCGGGAGTAGACTTGGGTGTGAATGGGAGATAAAATTGAAAAAGAGCAACATTATGTGAGTTACAGATGAAGTGGAAAGCCTTAAAGCCACCTAGACAAATCTCCTCATTGTACAGATGTGGCAATTGAGGCCCAGAGAGGGGAAGGGACTTGCCCAAAGCCACACAGCAAATGAATGGCAAAGTTAAGCCTTAAAAATGGACATTTGGACTCCGAGTCAAGTGAGAGACAGAGAGACTGATGGAGAATTGTGTGTGCAGGGGGTCAACGCCCTATTCTCAGAAATACCATCACCAAGGGATTATGCCTTCCCTACCCAAGCGGTAGGGTGGGGGGCTGGAGCCAGGGCCAGGGCCTACGGAGATGGGAGGCCTCCAGCCCCACTTTCTTCAGTGTCTTCAGGCAGGGTGGCATACCTGACCATCCCCAATGCCCGCCTCCTCCAAGGTGCTCTCTGGTGAGATCAGCAGCTCCTGGTCCTTGTGAATGCCCATCTTCCAGAGGTGGGACTCCTGCTGTACTGCCACAAGTTTCTTTAACTCTGACTCCACAAAACCTGAGAGCCAGAGATATGGGCAAAAAAAAGGCAGGAGTGGGGTGTAGCAACCTGCTGGAGGTCAAAGAAAGAGGCGGCAGCCCCTCTCCAAACCCCCTCCCAGCCTTGTGGAGTCAGTCCCTGGTCAACCCTGCCATAGTGCTTTCTTCACCTGTTACCTGGAGCCAGCCAGACACCATCTCCCCACCGCCCTGCTTTCCCCAGGAAACTCCCTTTCCATGGGCTCCCTCCTGCAAGCATGAGTGTGAGTCTCCTCACCTCCTGGGGAGAGCATGAAAGGGGCAGACATCTGCCCCCCATCCAGCCACCAACTCAAGAGCATGGATCTGGAACCATCCAAACTGCCTCAGTTCAAGTCCCAGCTCTGCCACTGACTAGCTGTGTGATTTTGGACAAGTTACTTAACCTCTCTGTGCCTTGTTTTCTCACTGTGGAGACTATAATAGGACCTACCTCAGAGTGGTAATGTATTATTTCGAGAAAAGTGCCTAGAAGAGGATCTGGCCCATAGAAATGCCTATGTAAATGTCAACAATGATTTTATCATATTATCACCATCCCCCACTCTCTCCTTATCTGCCCTCAGGGACACCCTTTGGGACACTGTCACAACAGCATATATGTGATAGGAAAACCAGGGATGGAGGTGGCCACCAAAAGAGAATTCCAGGCTGGGAAAGCATGGCACTCGAGGAGCCACAGCCCCAGTTGCAACCCCAACCTTACTGCCTCCCAAACTTTGACAGACGAGGACCCTAGAAGAGTGAGCACGGCCTCCAGCCCAGCCGCCCACCCACTAGTTGCTCATCTTAGGTCTTCTGGTACCCCCTGGTGGTAAAAACTGGTATCCCACCCATGAGCCACTAGACAAAGTGGGACACTCTCAGCCTGGAGCGGGTTGGGAGGGGAGGTGGGGGCATCGCACTTACCCACTGTATTTGTCGACCTGAAAGTCTTATGGAGTGGCCACTGGAGGGTGGCAATGCCTGGGACACAGAGCTTGAATGAGCTGTCCTCTTCCTCCATTTCCTCTTCCTCACTTTCTTCCTCATGGAGTACGTTTTCCTTGAGAGGAAACTGAGGGTGTGCCAGGTCACTGAGCAGATGAGGGCCCCAAGCCTGCAGTCCCAGCCCCACGCCCACATAAAACAGAAAGCAGGAGGGAACAGCTCCCAAAAGGTAAGGAAAGGGGACTGCTCGCCCTTGGCCCAATACACATATCCTGGGGCCCAGCCAGATGTGGGGAGGGGCCCCACCCAGGCCTCCCTGCCCCGCTACCCCACACACAAACACTACTCCAGCTTGGCCCCACAGACCTTGGCTATGGTCGATTTCTTATGCTGTTTGTACAAAGTGAGGAGGCGGGTCCAGGGAGTTGCCCCCACCTTTGAAGAGGCCAGCCTCAGGTCTCCTGTGAAGGGGCAGTGTCACTGACAATCTAATAGCAATGGGAGGTGGCCCAGGCCCAGCGGTGCAGGGACAGCTGGAAGTTTAAACTGAGAGTGAAGTTTCCTGGTTTTCTTTAGCAAACACCTACTATGTGCCAGGCACAGTTCTAGGCACTTTATAAAGGACATCTCATTTAATCTTTGCAACTACCTCTGAGATAGGTACTACTGTATTCCCATTCTATAGATGGGAAACTGAGCAACAGAAAGGCTGAGCAATTTGCCACCATCACACAGCTTGGCACAGTGGAGTTGGGATTCAAACCCAGGGAGCCTGCCTCCAGCATTCCCTTAGACTGTGTCCTTCCAGGGTGTGTGTCCCACACCCCTGCAGAGCCCTGAAGGAAGAGGGTCTGTTTCTGGTCCCTCCCCACACCTGCAGCCACCACACTCACCATCCTCAGCATCGAGCAGACGCTCCTCCTCCTCCCCGGTAAAGGCCTCAGTGCTGACCTCCAGTGGCCCCATGGAGCTCTGCAGGCATCCTTGTTCCACCTCTAGAGCTTGCGCGAAGTGGCCCCTGATCCCAAAGCATAGTCAGGTGGGAGTGGCAGGGGGG